ATTTTTACAGTCTTTATTCCACAGTTAAAATATATGTTTATCAAATAAAGTTTAATGTTACAACTAATCGTGGATCCCTTTCAGCTGGCAACAAGTTATTTAACCTAAATGGTCCAATGAGTTGCTTCTCATTTCTTAAACAACCATCCTGTGGTCGTGGAAAAGATGTCAGTCTGTTTGAGAAGGGTCAGATCATTGGCATCAAGCAGAGAAAACCTATAAGGAGATTGTAGAAACTCATAACATTGGGTTGAGAACTGTCCAAKACATTATTAAAAACTGGAAGGAAAGTGAGGACAAATCGTCTTCAAGGATGTTCCATCATGCCTGGTGTCTGTACCAGCTTGTGGGGGCCGAGCTATGATGTGTGGCTGCTGCAGTTGGTCAGATCTGTGAAGCTTATTGAAACAATGCAGTGAATGTGTGCCYTAATCAAAGCTAGAGGTGGTCCAACAAAATGTTGAGTGACCTTTTTTTTTGGTGGCAACTTGTTTTGTCCGGGCAGAGTTTATACCAGGGGTGGGCAATCCTGGCCCTCGATGGCCACAGCACTGCATGTTTTACATTTATCCCTGCTCCAACACACTCCTGATATATAAATGAACAGTATAGCTTTTAAACCATATTTGTAATTCTCTCTAACTTTGGGTTTGCTTCCTCAATMTGGCCCCACAAACTTTATACACAAATTACTAAATCATCACAATGGGATTAGTGGTGCTGTTCAATAATCATTTGTCCCCCATCGASAAGCAAAGAGGGGGCTTAGAAATATCCTCTGTCTGTCTTATGAGCTCAAAGACCTCCGTTTACTGGTTTAATTGGCGAGGAGCAGTAACTCTACACCGAGACACTCCCCATCCCCACCCCACCACCACCACCCCCACAGAAGACAGAGCTCCTCACCCCAGCATAGCCCAGCTTGGAGGCCTGTTTCTGCTGCTTGTATTCAAGATCTTGTTTTGGTCATGATCCATATTTAATGGGCACAGGTGGGTGTTGAAAAGCAGATGGACRAGTAAATCAGCAACACCTTCATCACTGCAGATGAGACCCCGATCTGTCTCCCGCTCKATCTCGTCATGACTCATGAACAAGTTGCTCAGACGCTTGAACTTTTCTGCAAGAGGCAAACACTTACCCTCCGCCAGAAGATTTCTAACTTTTTACAGAAGTTATATAGGTTTTTCAAAAAGGGATCACGAGTCCCTAGATCATATCAAGTCAGTCCAACAGTAAATGACAGAAAATACTTAGCGTCATTTTTTCTTCTTAAGATAATTAGATGTTTGGTGGATTCCCCCCCTTTTATTTTGGTATCACGATCTGGTGACTAACAGAGGTACAGTATATATCGTGCATTGACTGTTAGCTCTGAAAACTGATTACTAAATCCATCTTTCATATAATCCTCTGCCAAAGGAGGTAAAACATCAGACACAAAAAAATATTTGTCATTTTTGCTCATTTGTTACATCTATCAMTGTCATCGTGCAGCATCCAGCTTCTTCAAACAAGGATAAATGCCTGTTTCCATATTTGGTAAACCATGTTGTCTAAACTAAATTATGTCTCATTTATTAGTGTTGCTCATATAGACAGGGGTTAGTTAGTGGGACAAGCTTGCCGTCTCCAAAAACGATCTGACAGAGAGAGAAAAGCAGTGGACTACCTAGGTTTTGTTAAATTTATAACAGCAGTTGGTCAAAAGTGATGCACATCAAAAAAGAAAAAGCAACAAAAGATTTTAAAAATGCTACAAAAACAAAAATCTATTATAATTTGGCACTCAGTTTAAAAGCCAGAGAATCTAAATGTATTCAGACATTTAAAAACAGGCAATGTTGAACGCTGTGATGCTCACTTTTCTTTGTTTTGTGTCAATCGTAACAGGTTTATTTTTGGCCCATCTTAGTACAGCAGGTATATACTGTAGAATTATCAGGTTGGTATAGGTCTTTCAGTTCTCTTAGAGTGTTCAGTTCTGATCTGCCTCTTGTATGAATTTAAGTTCTTTTARGAAAACCAGACTATGCTGTAAGCTCTTATTTACACTCCCTCAGATTTTTTTTTTACCACAGAACTCGACACTTTTAAGCTGACTCAAAACAAAATCACAAAAAGCAACTTAAGAGACTCCGTCTGAAGTCACAAAAGTCTTGATGACCTGCAGATGTATGATTTTAGCTTTACTCCACTGGCTCCCTGTAAAATTCAAAGTTTACTTTGAACATGCAAAGTTCTCATCAACCACGTAAAGTCTTACAGATCCATATTTTCCTAACAGAGAGCACTTTGCTCTCAGACTATAGGTTTACTTGTGGTTTCAAGAGTTATTAAAAGTTGAATGGGAGGCAGAGCTTTCAGTTTTCAGTAGAACCAGATTCTACCTTTTGTGACATTGGTCACAGAAATAATTAGAATCTGGCAAAAGTAATAATAAATAAAAATTCTATGAAAATGAACAAATGAAAGTCAAGCATTTCTTTTCAGCTACGCTTCAATAGAATTTAAAAAATAAACAAATAAAATAAAACCGGCCTGGACAGAAATGATGGTACCCCTGAAAAGAATGTGACCAATGGGTCACATTAAATTAAAGTGTGCCCACAAATTATCATCACAGGTGTCGACAGTCTTATAACCAGTCAGTGGGCCTGTATAGGCCTACAGATACTCACTGTGCTGTTTGGTGACATGGTGTGTACCACACCCTACATGGACCAAAGGAAGGGAAGAAAAGAGTTGTCTCAGGAGATTAGAAAGGAAATTACAGACAAGCATGTTAAAGGTAAAGGTTATAAGACCATCTCCAAGCAGAGAAATATGCTGCCCAGTGTCAGAAAGCTTGGTCTCAGTCACATGATTCTTGCAACAGGATAATGACCCAAAACACAGCTAAAACACCTAAGAATGACTAAGAGGAAAACACTGGACAATTCTGAAGAGGCCTTCTATGATCCTGACCTAAATCCTGTTGAGCATCTTTGGAAGGAGCTGAAACATGCTGTCTGGAAGACACACCCTTCAAACCTGAGACAACCAGAGCAGTTTGCTCATGAGGAGTGGACCAAAATACCTGCTGAGAGYAGCAGAAGTCTCATTAACAGTTACAGGAATCGTTTGATTGCAGTGATTGACTCAAAAGGTTGTGCAACAAAATATTAAGTTAAGGGTATTATCATTTCTGCCCAGGCCTGGTTCATGAGTTTGTTTGTTTTAGATTCTGTTGAATGATGGTGATGGTTGAAAAGCCTTGGTTGATTGTTTGTTTGATTGATGGATTTGGTTGATAGTTAAATAGACTTTTATTTGTTTATTTTCATACATTTGTATTTATTATTTCTTGCAGATTCAAGTTACAGTTTTTCTGCAAGTAGGGGTCTCTGCGGACGAGTGGGCGTGTCCCAACGAAAGGCGATTCTAAAGCGACACACCTGATTTGACGGACTTTTTTTAAGGGACACACCTGACTGGACAAGCAAAAAAAGGGGCGATACCGTACGGCACCACCTGATTGGACAAGAACAAAAGGGGCGTTACTGTACGGCACCACCTGATTGGACAAGAACAAAGGGGTGTTACTGTATGGCACCATCTGATTGGACAAGAACAAACGGGGCGTTACTGTATGGCACCACATTTTCTGGAGAACCCTACTTGGGTCACATTTCTCCTGATTAACCTTAGTGTTGGGGTCAGGGTCAGGCTGTATAGAGGTCAAGCAGGGTCTAATTCATGTAGGCCTCGCAGCCCACAGTGTTTGTGCTTTAGACACGCCCACTCTTGTGACACGCCCACTTTGATTCTGCAGATAACCCCTTCTCTATTTCTGTGATCATTGTGAGTTTTTCTTTCATTAAACAAAGGGTACCAACATTTTTGTCCACGTGTTTAAATTATCCTGTAAAATAAGTGTGTGCACATCTATATACCTACATCCACACACACATACATAACAACACACATTTCACACAAATCCCTTTTAACATGTCTGAAAGGGGGTAGGAAGAAGTAAAACTTATTTAATCCTGCCTCTTCTCCAATAGTCCACAATTACACTATCCGTCTCTGACYGTCTATGATAGGAAAAAGGACAAAAATAAACATATACATACACATATAAAGTAGTACATAATCTATTATTGTAATACTACACTTTAGAATTGTAAATTTCCATCTAGAGACATAAACACACATTCACACTCACAATGCACCCCGAAAGCAGATATATTCTATTGAAATAGAAAAAAATTTGTTAATTAATTGTCATTTTGGTGCCATATAAACTGAARTGAACAGAAACTTGTAACCTCCGATCACTCTTGTCTCTTTGTGAGCTCATGTAAGTGTTTTAGGAGACCAGAGTCATCAGGACAAATGTTTGTTTTTACAATAACTCAGTTTGTCTCTGCTGGCCCGTTGTATATTGTATTTMCTCACATGCTGCTTAAACCAGTTTACACACATCTGTTGATTATGTTGGGTCTCCAGATCGCATGTTTATCCCAATGTGACACAAGCATTAACACGATTTTTGTCACCAGTAATAAACAAAGAAACAATCTGACAGGTAGGGTATTTAGTCCATCAACATCTCCTAGTAGGARATCCCATTAGCAGCGGAAAGGAGAGGGAGGAGGTGGAGAGAGGAGGAGGGGGGAGGCTGTTCCACTTGGATGGCTGGAGCAGTCAGGAGGCTGCTCGGGAGGGGAGACAGACAAGACATCGCTCTCCTATTCTGCACTTCCCGTCTCCTGCTTTTCTGTTTTTATATATGATCATTATTTGTCCTCCAGCCAGCCGCGTGTTGCTGCGTCCCGCTGCGCTCCAGAGGCGGGTTGGGGACGAAGGAACGGGAAAGAAGTAAAGGAGGGAGGAAGAGTTGTTGACGCATCGTAGGAGCGAGTGGGCACGCCAAGCCTTCACTTTTTTTCGCTCTCTCTCTCTCTCCGATATGCGACCTGCAGGACGCCGCGCCGCCAGCGACGTGCGCCTCTGAACCCGGAGAGAGACGCAGAGAGGAGGCGGGAGGAGCACGGGATGGAGTAGCGGCTCCGCACGGCTCAGCTCGGGAGGAGCGACAGAAACAAGCGGCAGCATCTCTTTTTCTAAACCAGTTATTTGATTTATTGTTTCGTCTGCTGAAAACTCAGAGGGAGACGCTGTTTTTTGGTTTTTGGCCCACACTGATGTTTGTGCGCACAGTTTGCTTTTGGTGGCAAAATACGGAATAATCTGTGGCTGTCATTTCCTGTAGAGTACCTGCTGCTGCTGCACACAGGTGAGACGTTTTATTTTATTTTTATTATTTTACTGTTGGAGTTGCATGTCCACCACCTCAGCTGTGAGTGACAACTCAGAAAAAAAAATAATCCCAGAGCACATCCGAAGTTTCCCRAGGATGACCTGGGAAACCCTGGAGGCTGTGCAGCAGAGTCAGGATTGCCTCTGACTCTGACCGCGCGCTCATCCAAACATCCCACTGTGTTGTGAGGCTATCATAGTGGAGGAGAAGTCATCTGTGCGTCTCTCCTGTCCGTGCAGATGTTGCCTAATCCCGGCCCTCCCTTCCAGCGCTATAATCCCCTCGGATTGGGCTGGTGATGGTGCTGACCACCTCACTGAGTTCCTAAAAAAAAAAAAAAAAAAAGGCAGGAAAACAAAGTTGGGTTAAAATTCTGCACGCATCCTCAGCAGTTATAGCTACTTTGGGTTTTTATTAAGACTTGAATTTATGTTGGAAAGTTTTGTGCTCATTTTGACATCAAATTCGAGTTTAGTTTAAATCACAGTAACCCTTTAGTTTTAGTCAATGGGACATTTTATTTAACCAAATCTAAATTTATAATAGCTAAAAGTTATGCCAGTCAAAGTTCTCCATTTACAATACAGAAAGAAAATGATTTTACATCTTATGTATATCACAAATTTAATTTTTCTGGCTTTTTAAAAAAAAAWTCATAAAAATGACAATAACATGATATTGATTAACAGGAAGTCTGCTGTATGATTTCCATAAAGGTTTAGACCAAGCACGACTAAGAAACAACAATAAAGAATGACAAACCATATCTAAAACCACATTTAGCCTTCAATTTCCTGACATGATCAGAACAATTTAAAATGAAAAGGTTAGTGTAGTAATACTTCTCTTCCAACATAGTGTAATTATGAGTATAACTTTAAATATTTGAATTTTTGCTTTGGTTTCTCCTCCAGACTTGTGAGTTTTGCCTTTTAAAGAAACAACTGGAAGCTTCTGTGCGTTCAGTGAATCTGTTGTCACCTGAACTCTTCAGTGTGATGATAAATCCAGAAAGCTCTTATTATTCCTGACAATGACATTTCCTTAAAAAACTGTCAACAGATACTTTACAGTAAAATTCTCACAACAGCAAAGTTCTATTTCTGCATTTATTAACTGCAAACAGCAGTTTTAAGATGCAGTGGCAGCTTAGCTGTAGCAGCTTGATTTTGTATGGATGTTGTTCCATTTTAGTGTTTTCACCGATGACTGTTGCCCGACATGATTTACACGTCTTGTTTTACTTGATTGAACCCCAGCTGGTTACTTACATTCACGTCACAGATGCAGAATTGTGAGAAGTTCGTTTTTATTTAATGCCGACYTCATGAATTTTGATACGTCGACTCAAATAGATTTGGTTGTTTCAGTACAGCTTTCTTTCTACAATCATTAACTTTGTTCAGGGCAAACTGCACTGTAAAAAAATGAAATGTTGGATTTACTTAACCATGTTATGTGACCTGGTTCCACTTAACTGAGTTGAGTAAATTCAAAGCAGTATACCAGTTTTTTAACCAAAGAACATGAGTGTACTGCTTTGAATTTACTCAACTCAGTTAAGTAGAACCAGGTKACATAACATGGTTAAGTAAATCCAACATTTCATTTTTAGAGTGTGTGTTTATTTGTGTCTCCTTCCATTTCTTTTATTTTCATGTGTTTTTATGCTTTTTGCTGTAATTTAAGATGGTAGCAGCAGCTAGCTGTATTAATATCAATGGAATTGATAAAATGTCAGAATGTTCAGCTCAGAGATAAATTCTGATTGGCTAGCTTCTCAACTCGTCCCACCTTTTATAACAAATTAGATCTTATCGGATTTTTTCAGTCAAGTATTTTTAATAATATTTTTATGATCAAGACTATGATATATATTTACGATATATCAATAGTTTTTGTCATGTTTTAGTTTTTATTTAGGCATTGTCTTGTTTTTGTCCAGAAAAGAAGGTTGTTGACAAAAATTGCGACAAATATAGTCAATGGAATTAGCTCATCTTTGTTGCTGATCAGAATGAAACCAGCTTTACTGTGTTCTAAAGTTATGGATTAGCACATTTGTCAAAGCTTGGGTAAAGGCCAGCAGATTACTTTTAAAACCTAGTTTCACGTAGATGCTATTAGATGCTATCTTTCGTGGAGTTTCTGCACATTTGACAAAACAAGTTACAAAAATGATAGAACTCTAGTTTTCCACCTTCGTGTACATATACAGTAAGCAGTAAAACGTTTGTAAAGGCTACAAAAAGGCTGTGTGAGGGTAAGCTCTGGCACAGCATCAGTCTGTAGATATACGTACATGTGACTGAGCAAGGAGCAGCTCCAGGGATGCTCTGCGACTGATCTGTCCTACAGGCTTGTAATCTGACTTGACAAGAGCGGAACTTATTCTAAAGGGTTATACAAGAGGGGAAAAAAGGGAATTACTTCATACAAACATCCAGCAGTGTATATTAAGTCTCAGCTTGGTCTCGTTTCTCAGCATGCGAGTAAAACAGCTTCTCACATGCCTGGAAAAAAAAGGAAAATTGAGATGTGAGAATAAATATTTAAAAATTATAAACAGGTTGGGAAAGGGAGGTTAGAGATGCAGTTGATTAATCTACCAAAGAAGCAATACTTTCCAAAACAAATGGGGATAATGAACATGTGACAAATAGGGCTGCCATGATTAATCGATTAATCGACGACTAAGCGATTATTAAAATAATCGATGACTAGTTTAATAATCGATTAATCGTTTTCTTTTT